TGTGTAGGTGTGTGTGTAGGTGTGTGTGTAGGTGTGTGTAGGTGTGTGTGTAGGTGTGTGTGTAGGTGTGTGTGTGTGTGTGTGTGGGTGTGTGTGTGTGTGTGTGTGTGTATGTGTGTGTGTGTGTGTGTGTGTGTGTGTGTGTGTATATATGTGTGTGTGTGTGTGTGTGTGTATATATGTGTGTGCGTGTGTGTGTGTGTATATATGTGTGTGTGTGTGTGTGTGTGTGTGTGTGTGTGTGTGTGTGTGTAGCCTGTTTTGCTCCCTTGTGCCATCATACCAATGCAGGGGAAAATATATAATACAAAGTTTGGATAAACTTTGACATCATTTGAAGACGTGCAGTTAACATTATTTCCCCGGTTGGTTCAGAATAAGCATCCAAGGGCACGTGACTGCTGTCAACCGTTGTCAAAACTTTGCGTAATGCCTCGATTATTCTTAATTCTGTTTGTAGCTGGTTTGATTAAGTCAAACAGCAGAATTATGCAATATTGCAGTGGCCTGCATAGCTGTGCAGTGCATGTTTGCACCAGTCTAATTATTTAAGTATTTTTGTTTTAAGTTTCATGTTGTAGCATACACTGAAAAAAAATCAGGAGATATCAAAATGAATGTGTCTTTGCCTTATTTTTCTTTTCCTTTTTTAAATAATTATGATCTTTCCATTTGACTTCGAGCAACATGCCTTTAGTTCCTCGGAAAATGTGGCACAATGCAGCAAATACCTCCTTAAGAAGTATAGGCTAAATAAAGTCTCCAAACTGTGGTGCCGCTTCATCACGGCACCAAAAGCTACTGTGAAAACACAAACAAGGTTTTCTGATGAAGAGTCACGTGTTCTCGTCGGACAGATGAGGATACGGTCATGAATATCAGATCATCGGAAACATTTAAATGAGTGCTGACGGGCGTCTTTACCCTTTTCGCTGAAATGGCAAGACATTTGAGCTTTTTATTTCCCTTAATGCAGTCAGCGGCGATGACCTTTAACTCCAGCCTCTCCCCCCCTCCCTCTCTCTCCCTCCCTCTCCTTAAGGCCAGACTTACCCTTTTGACCGAGGATCAGCGGTAATATTGCTCTTCAACCCAACACTCACCGCAGACAGCATTAACATGAGCCGTGTGTTGAGGAGCGGAGTCTTGCACCTGCCTGGTAGCCTAATGTCTGTTTGTGTCTCGTGTTTCCGCTTTCCTCCCGCGAGCATCAACCGACTGGAAAGTTGCGGGAAAGCATTGTGATATTTAACGACTGGACATTTGATCAATTGTCTGCTGTGGGATTCATGCAAAGACATTTTATTTTGTATTAAATATTTATTTCAACTGCCATTCAATACAGAAAAATATCAACAACTTCATTTATAATAAACTCTGAAGGAAAAACACATTTTAGTATTTCTGTACAAATATAAAAAATAAACTCTATACATAACAAAGAGAATGGACTGTGTGTGTGCAGACATTTAATGTGATGAGGCCAAATGACAATCAATGACAGTCTATAATTCACAACTAATGCCAAAATCAAATTAGTCTCCCAGAATTGCAGCAAAGAACAATATATTTTATTTATAGATTTAAACTACAACTTTTTCTCTGATTTCTCGCTCTCAGGTCGTGTAATGAGAGGTTGGCTGAATTATATTATCAAGTTATGATTCATTTTATTAAAGCAAATAATCCGACAGACTTTCATGCTTGTTGAGGTGTTTGATGTTGCCGCTGAATGGTTTTCAGATTTATTGTAAATCTGTTATGTTGTGATACTGTAGCCCATGTTTCTTTCTTAAGCAAACAGCATTCTTCTGCATTTCTCAGTTAGCATTTTGCTGTTGTAGCTGGTCGAGGCAGAGCTGCTGTTAACACAGTTTAGTATTTTAGTCCAGTGGTTCCCAACGTAGGGCGGCGGGCCCCGCCAAAGGGACACAAATCGGAGGGGTCGTCATGCAGATGATTTATGGAAGAGGAATGAAGAAATAACTAAGATCTGCTGAACAAATTTGTATTCGGTTTTGCACTTTTCTCGAATCTCTGCTGTTTTTGTGAAATAGTGGATCATTTTTCCGTTCGGTGCCTCAAACTGCTATTTAAATGAAACCATCTGAGTAGTTTAGAGGGGAAGCGTCTCCAGCAACTCTTCACACAACATGACAAGAACTATTTTGCAAGGGTTAGGTCATCTCTGACAACACAATGTCTTCTAATGTAAATACTCAAATACAAGTAACTTGAGTAATACATTCAATAGAGCACTTGAGTAAATGTACATGTACCACCTCTTATGAAGATATTTTTACGTGTTGAAACTCCACATTAGATCAGGTTTCTCTGTGTATACAAGGCCGTCTGAACGATGTGGCACCCCGGCCAGTGCCCCCTGCTCTGGGGGCCGACAGCCCAAACCCAGAGGCCCCTCGCTCACTTTCCTCTTTCCTCCTCTGATCCTTATCCAGCCTGGCGTGCCCTTTGCTTGATATGACCTGCTGGCCTGCTCCACAGCCACGGCCCCCTCTATGCCACCACAGCTCTGAAGTACAGTTGCACCACACAGAATCACATCGCCAGTGTGTGCTCCAGGAGACAGCTGCATCAAATTGAGCATGTTTCTCCAGTTGGCGGCAGTGAGTGTTTTCCAGCCCTCGGTGCAGCCGGGCCTCTAAGCAGCAAAACACAGTATTGCAGTTTGTGTTATTATCCTCCAGCAGAAAATGCAAGTCCTCTGTGAGGTGGCTGTGCGGCTAAATTGCATGGTTTCTTGAAAACCAAATTGACTGTACATAACGATTATTATATGCTTTGAAATTCTTGCACAAAAACAACATAAAACATTTTCCAGTGCGCTTGTTGGCAGCCATCATCGATTCCGTTTTGTTCCGTTCAGATACAGACGAGCTTTAGTTTGAAGAGAATGAGATCTAAAAGAAGTGAAGATATGATTCATTTTGTCTGTCTGCACTTCTATTGACAGTATATTTGTATTACATGTTTGCTTCAAATATGTAACGCAGACATTTGATCATTATTACTCATATTTCCCCTACAGTGTCCTGTTTTTAGGTCTAATCCCCTTTTTATAACAGCCATTACTCCCTGAAGTGTGACTTGAATGGCTCTGCAGTCTACCTCTCTCTTACAGTCAATGGAAGTGGAGACAGTTTGACCTAGTTCATCACACTGAGGCAGAGACAGGAAGGCCTGTATCTCCTCTGGGGCATTGCATGGCTCTCTTTACATTAAGAGGTTTTCTTAGTGACTCAGTGAAGTATAGTGACCTCAGCTGACATGTATTTGAGAGATTCACACACTCTTATACGTGTATGTCTATGAACAAACAGTAAAACACAGACCCATATTGCTTCTCTTTAATTGTTTTCTTCAGGCCCAAACAAAGAAAATGTCCCAAAACAACAATGAAGCTGAAGCACTGAGACTTGTAACATCCAGACACATCTGAGAGCTGCCACCTATTAACAGACACTTGTTTTGGGCTTGATAGAACGCCCTCTGATGGTGAACAATGTGCAATGCACCTAAGCTTTATATTTCCAGTAGTTTTTCATCACCTGAGCAGTTTATGCATAAACCACGTTGCACCATGCTGGTTAGAAAACAGCAAAAACAGCCTTGTTGCAGTATTTCCTACGCTGTCACGACCCTCGGATCATATTCTGATGGCTTCTCCATCTCTGTGTAAACCCACAGAAATGTGATTTCTCCACTAGCATTTATATTAATATTATTAATACTTGTAATTTTAGCCTGTTTTAGTGAAGAAGCCTTTTCATCTCTTCTCGCTATTTAGGATTTTGCAGAATGCTGCCGTATTTCACTTTTCGGCTTTCTAAAATAAATCTCATTCACATACTTGCTTTCATAACTGGCATGCCAGCTTAGCCGGATCATGCCAGCTCTGGCATTAATAATTCACTGTACATAATAAGTTGATGCTGCAGAGTATGTTCTCATTGATAGTATTAGCCGAGGTGAGCATTCCTGGCCAGACTTTGTGACGCCAGCAGACCAGCATAAAGTGGGCTTTAATTGCCCATAATCTCTGCCGTTCTCTATGCTCTCAGTGCAAGTCAACTGCATATACCCTACGCACGCCAGATCTTAGCAAGGCAATGTTAGCTCCGTATCAACGCAAGCCTCACAAAGAGGAATGCTTGGAAGAGATTTTGGAGAACACAAAGGTCTTCAGAGGGTTTTGGGATTTTGACTCTC